GAGACTTTAACCGAAGGTCACACTCATGTTAGTCAAACATTCTATTACTGAAATACCACCAGCACCACCAAAACCCTTTAACAGACTAAACATGTCTAATTCATTCAAACTGTTGGTGATTCCTGATGAAAGTAAATTCTTTGTTCTTTGTGGGATTTCTTCACTCTTGAGTGCTCACTTTGTTTCTGACTACAACTGCCTTCCCTAACAAAAGAATCAATTCTGAATGGAAAGGTCTTTAGAAAAAAACCATCAGCAACTTGAGACACTTTTCTAGGTGACAGTTGCAAATGGTGTTTCATATTTCAAAACCAGAGATTTAATATGGTGGTCATTGAAAGCACTGGCTCTCAGTCTCTCGCAATGCGTTGGCCACAGCAGATGGGTGCAGTCTTGTCTGTAATTAAATCTAGTAATTCTGGAGAGATTGGCTCTGTTGCTCTTGTAGAGGAGAGGTTTTCTTTCCAGCATCTACATCTTGGCTCACAACAATCTGAAACTCCAGCTCTAGGGGATCTGGATGTCCCTGGGAACTAGGCACAGATGTAGTACACAGACATACATTCAGGCAAAATATTTCTACACGCAGAATAAATAAATAAAATAATTTAAAAAAGTAGTACTCTCATGTAACAGAGTAGCCATGTGGTAGATCATCTCACAAGAGAGAGGAGGCTTACTTTCTCTTCCCGTTCATCCTTTGTCTAAAGGTGGCTTTTGTAAACCTGCCTTTTAATCCTCTATCTTTAAAAGTCAGTAGTCTTTCCTGAGGAACTGTGCAGAAGTTGGTGTGGAAAGCTCTTTCATTGGCTAGGAAGGAAAATATGTGGAACTGACAGCCTCTCTGTCTGTCTCTCTGTCTCTCTCTGTCTCTGCCTCTCTCTGTCTCTCTCTGTCTCTGCCTCTCTCTGTCTCTCTCTGTCTCTCTCTGTCTCTCTCTCTGTTCTCTCTGTCTCTGTCTCTGTCTCTCTCTGTCTCTCTCTCTGTCTCTCTCTGTCTCTGTCTTTGTCTCTCTCTCTCTCTCTCTGTGTATGTGTGTGCGCGTGCGCGTGTGTCATATTCTCTCTTTCAAACCAAGAAATAGCTTAGTGCCACTCTGGAAAAGAAGAAAGCTTGGCTATATATTTTAGCGGTAGAATACTGCTTGCCCAGCATGAGTATGGCCCAGGGTTCAAGTGATAGCACCACACAACTGTGTGCACACTTGTGGGCATGTGTATATACATACATGGACGCACACACAAGCTTTAGATGAGTTGTTTTCATCTTGTGTGTGTGTGTAGGGATTTTGGGGTGAGTGGGCAGGGGAAGATACCTGTCTCTTTTGTGGACTTACAGGTAGAAGCAGTCAGGAAGATTACTGCTGCAAGGAATCTTAATTCATATGAATGAAATGGGGACTAAATGTGTGCATGCACATGCATTTGTCAGTGAGCCTTTTTATCTTACTTAGGTTTGATAGCAAAAGGCAACAGGTCCAATAACAATAAGACTGCAGTGAGGCAGGACCTGAAAAGAGTTGAAGTGATGCAGCCACCATCTAGTAGTCTCTCCCAGATTTACTAAAATTCCTTTAAGAAAATATCTCCATAGGTATCTGCTAAGCATCTGCTCTAAGGAGAGTGGGTGAAAAATACAGATTGTGTGACTAAACTGAGACTGTGCCCCCCATTTTAGTTCTGGTTTAACTGTTTTTTTTCCTATTTTATTTAATGAGGGGCAATGCTAAGACCACAATGTAAGCATCTTGGGATTAAAACCATTCTCCTTTATTTTAAGAAGAAATAATATTTTTAGTCAACAAGTCTCTGGACAAAATTGCTTTATGAATGGAGGATCACAGTTATAGAATTTGGTGGTGTTGGGGAATTAGGGCCACTGAGGTGGTTGAAATGAAAGACATCTTCTCCACAAGCTCAGGCATTTGGTTCCCAGCTTTTGGTGCTGTTTAGGGAGCTGGGGCAGCCTTGCTGGAGGGTGTGCTTTGAGATTTCCTTGCCTCACTCTACTTCCTGTTTTCTGGCTCTGTGTCTGTGGTTCAAGATATGATCTCTCAGCTTCGAACTCCTGCTGCCATGCCTCCCCACTGTGATAGAACCTTGTCCCTTTGGAATCACAAGCCAAAGTATGTTCCCCCTTCCTTAAGTTACCTTTTGTCATGGTGCTTTGTCACAGCAACAGAAAGATAACTAATGCAAATCACCTTGCACATATAAGTTCAGGATATAAGGAATGAGAATAAAAAAACAAAATTAGAATTAGCTACGCTGATGTCAAATAGAATGAAAACATTACTCAAGGAGATTGTTTAAAGAAAGGTCACTGGAGAGGGTTAGTTTGACCAAGAATAGTGAAGAACAATAAAGATCTGGAGAGCAAAGGAAATGAAGATGGGAGATAAGGGAAGGAGCTCTCGTAAGGTGCCCGTAGGGAGGGTTAGACATTATATAAATGTAGACACAGTGTATTTTATTGCCCACGTGTTTAGTGTCTATATGACTTTCCTGTATCCCCAAATAAATGTTTGATATCTGTCATCTAGTATATTATAAAATGGTAGAGTAGCAGACATTTCAAAGAATTCTTGATAGACATGTAGCTAGGATACATAGCCAGTTTCAGAAATTTCTCGTGGTGTTAAATGTGAAATTTAGATGCACTCATCTACCTGACCTCCTTAAATTGTAGCTAATTTGATGATTGCAGTGTCATCTAAGCTATCAGAAGTTCATACTTCATTAGAGAAAATATTTTAGTGTGAAGAATCACTGAAATCACTACTAACTTATAATTATGAACCCAAGGAGTTTTAAGCTAGACTAAACCACGATATGTACTATCTAACAGAAACACATGTTATGATGGAAAATTTCTTTTAATACCTGCCTTGTCCTGTAAAATAGTGACCAACTATATGTGGCCATTAGTCACTGGAAGTGTGGCAAAGGTGACAAAGGAACTGAAAACTTTTTTAATGTTTTTAACCAGTTAAGTAAAGTAGCTGCATGTGCTGATTGCTTTATTGGACCACCCAATTTTATGCAAGGTCTGGACTGGCTCCTTTCATCGAGCTTCCTCACAGATGGAACCACTTGGGCTTTGGTTAAATATATAGTTAAGGCCTGGGTTTTGCTCCTAATCTAACTCTTAGTTAGATAAAAACAATATGCACAGGTAAACTGTATATGGTGTTTCTGTGATGAACACACTTGGAGGACTATGTAGATTGACTCCATTATTTGGCATTTTGGAGGCTGCTTTCTGTGTGTTTCCTTTATCATAGTGGGTTTTCAAACTACACAATGATGGAGGGCTTCTTGGAACCCAGATTGCTGGGGCTCTCTCTCCATAGTGGTTCAAATCCAGGGAGATTGAGGTGGAGTGTGAGACTGTGTACCTAATAAATTCCTAGTGATGTGGAGAGACTGCCGGACTTGTAGAACTGTGGCAGTAGATCGTGTACTTATTCTAAGAAACTGGTGTTTGCCTTAATCCTTTCCACAGGAGTCCTTTTCTGTATCCCCATCAGTTAGTCTGTGCCTTGAGACCATCTGACTTACTGGTTTTCCTAGGGGCTGAGGGTGTACAGTGAGTCCCAGTGTGTGTGTGTGTGTGTGTGTGTGTGTGTGTGTGTGTGAGAGAGAGAGAGAGAACTCATTTATGGACATGCCTATTGTTTGTTCCAACTTGTTTGTTTGGAATTTTACTGTGCTATTTGTTTAATGCCAAATTCTTTTGACCATTGCCTGGTAGCTGCCACTGGACTTGTCTTTCACCATATGCTTACCGGTAAGGGTTTTTAATTTTGCTGAGTGATGCAATTTACCTAAATACTTCTCACAATGCCCACAGGTCTTTCTAATATCCTAGCCCTGTTCCTCAGCTGGCCTGTATTCTGCCTTTAGATGCATGATCAATATAGAGTACCTGCCAGGGGATTTGACCTGGTTTCGCATTTTCTCCTCCAACAATTCGAGTGAAGTCATTAAGTGATTCACTGTTTTCAGTGACGTTATCAAGAATGGCACCGTCAGTGATGTCATCCAGAATGAATTCAGCTTCAGTAGAATTTCCATATTCCATATTAGAAAAAACAGTCTCAGCACGGGTGATCTTTTTAGAATTGTATGAAACAGAAACTCTTCCACATGGAAATGGGACTACAAAAATAGAAAAAATAGAATATTCTGAAATTTCACAGTGGCGTATAGAAATGAATTACAATGAGAATGAGCCTCATTCATTACTGTCACTTTGGGTCTGTCGATATATATATATATATATATATATATATATATATATATATATATATATATATTCAAACTAAAAGGCTGACTGTAGTATTTTCATGTAAAGTTTTCAAAGCTTCCATGGGAAACATGAAATCCATCATCTTCAGAGAAATAAAATAGGTGTGCCGAAATCAAATTTATTAGACTATTTTTTTAAAAAAAATCTAATTACTTTCTCTCTAGTTTCTTAATTAAAGTCTTCAAAGTTCCCTTCCCCAGGATGGAGATGAAGAAGGGATGCTGTGGAACTTTCCTTTCAGGAGAAGATAAAGGGCTCCCACTACTTGCTATTAACAGGGTCTTTTGTAGACTATTTATGCACTAGAGATTCCAACATGGAGTATTTGAAGGGAGATCTTTGTGATTCAATTGCATATTTGTCTAAAATTTACCAAATAAGTTACTAATATGCTTTCCAAGTCCATATTTACTTGGATCTAACCACGTCTTCCCCCTATCCTGCTCCATTTGATTTATTTCCCAACAAATTATCTACTGATACACTGGGGACCACTAAAATGGAAATTTGTAGCCAAAGTCACCTCACACTTCATTTTCATGTTTTGCTCTCCTCTTAGATATCTTCCATGTACCAGACATTTCTATAGCAACCAGCCGTGGCTAAGTATCATGAAGGCAGCTTGTGGTTGAAAAATAGGAAATTAGTTCAAAATACTTATGCATAAATACACACGATCAACAATGGCTTGAAAAAAGGGACCATTGCCTTTCAAAAGGCAGAACAGCTTATTTTAGGGTTGGCCTAGTTACTCTGCTAAAGCTAAGGCTACATTTAAATAGAACTCTTAATAGTTGGAGGTGCTTTTCAATTTTTTTCCTCTCTTAGAACATAGAAGAGCTTATAAGGACTAAGCTTCTGTGCCAGCTGCCTTCATGAGAAATTAGCTTTTTAAATGTTAAGTATGCATGCCCCCCCCCCACATAAACACACATAGACAAACACATACACACTTCTAAGGCAAGGAACGGGTAAATCAGTGCATGTGAAGAAGCAGCAGAAGGTGAAGCATCAGAGACTCTTCATTTTGTTTGTAGCAGACATACTTTTGTATTCTGGCCCTTTCTTTAATTTCCTCTGCCCGGTACATTGCTGAGATAGGTATCAAACCTACAGTTACAGGAGAATGGTTCACAATTTAATGTACCAATTTAATAAAAGATCTGGTTTTGGAAATGTAAGAGAAACTATATCTGGCTTGCTTTAAAAGTGTGCGTGTATTTTATTTGTAAGTATGCTATATGGGTGAGGGCACATGTATGTGCTGGAATGAGTGCCCATGCTTGCATGTGCCAGGGGTTAACATCAAACATCTTCCCTTATTTCTCTGCTCTCCAAATTACTTCTTTGAGACTGGATCTCTCACTGAACCTGGAACTCACCATTTCTGGTTGGTCCTATCTTTCCTGTCCCCTTCAGTGCTGGGCTCACACTGCCTGGCTTTTATATACTGTGTATCTGAACTCAGGTCCTCAGGCTTGTATACTACATGCTTTATTTTCCTTCTGTTACTCTTACAAAGCTTGTCTCCCTCTCTGTGAATCAAAACTGTGGTTTCAGAGGTAAGCAATGAGTGTGGAGATGTTCTAAATACAGTAGTCAGGTGTCAACATGGTGGCATGCTCACACAGCTGTGAAGAATTGCCTTTCCCTTTACTGTAAAGACTACGCAGATCAGCCTAGGAAAGTGCAAACAGTGACTGGATCTAGTCTGATAGTAAGTATAGAAGTTTAGTTTTTTGACACAAGTCAAGTCAGGAAGTGATTTTCATAGACTGAAGTAGTTAGGCTCCAACAGTCATCCTTAACATTTAGCATCTTTTTTTTTTTTAACTAGAAACTTATCAGTCAGGCAAGTATTTATATGTCTTCTATGGTATGGTAATGTATTATTGATTTGATGTGCTGAATCTCAAATATTGCACATAGAGATCAAAGAAATCCATTTCTTTGTAATATAGAAATCAGAGGGGAAAAACATGGACTCAGAAAAGAATTCAGGCTGTACATAATTATTAAATTATGAGATGATGGTGGCATTTGGAACGTTAATTTGTTTATTTGAAGATACTAATCTTTTGTTTAATTACAAAAGGGAGTTGATGCCTGCAAGTACTGAAACAAGGTAATTTAGGGGCAGAAGATCTGAACCTGGGTTGTAACTGGAGTTATGCTGGATTAGTGAGCACTACATATTAGCTCACTAAACTTCTGAGACTCCAGTTTGAGGGGATCTGATACCATCTTTTTACTTCCACAAGCATTGCACATGCATAGCATAAAAAAATACATGCAGTCAAGACACTCAGAAAATGAAAATAAATAAATCCTTTTTAAAAAGCCTAAAATAGTATAGTTTATATGCTAAAGATTCAAATGCAAATTTTCTTTTAAGAACTTATTTAGATTTTGACCTGCTGGCTCACAGGACTTCTGGTCTTCTGCAAGTTGGTATCCCTCAGTGCAGGAACAAATTACCTTGTTATCAGGATTATTTTTACAAAACTGCTTGCACCTGCCATTTTTAATGTTACACGTTGCATCTAAAAGAAAGAAAAGAAAAGAAAAACATAATGGCTCATCTGACATACACTTCAAGAAAAGTACATGGAACTATTGGCTCATGAATGCATTAAACAGAAGTTGGAACAATCTGGGAGCCTAGAGCTAATAAAAGAAAAATGAGGTAAAATAAGATTCTCAGTAAGGCACGATGATGGTGTCAGCAATATTTTGATGTGTACAACTAAATATTTGGATAGTGTACTTTAACTAAACCATGAACTATGATTAGAAACATATTTTTTTATAATTTATTTTTTCTCAAATTGTAATTCATTCACACAGGGGTTATAAACACAGAAAGGCAGGATATGGGGAAGGGAATGACACTGGAGTGTGGGTGTTCAGGAGGAATACAGATATCTTTCAGAGCTGGGTATCGGCTGGGTGAAGGTTCGGGGACAATTCACTATGACTCTGCCTATGACTCGCTTGTCCTTATCTAAGTTGGTATTGTCTGCCCAGGCTACCTATTTACAAGGTCTATGACTTCTCAGGCTTGTAAATTTCCACAAAGGCTGGCTGTTTACATTAGCTTATAGCCATCTGAGAAACATATTTTTTAAAGTAAAACAAAAATCCAGGAAAATCAGTAAAACTTTTGTGTGAAGTTTTAAAAAGTAAGTACACCTGTTGAAATCCGTCACAGTCAACTGCCCAAGTCCTATAATGTTTCCTTCCAACCAGTCTACCCTTCCTCCTTTACAAAAGTTATTACCTGTGCTTCAATAAACAGCACATACCTTCTTCTGTTTTAGCAATTTATTTGTGGGATTCATCTATGCAGTTTTGTAAACCAATAGTTCATTTAGATTGCTGTGTAGTAGTCCATTGTATTGATACATTTGCATCCACCTATTCTACTATTTGTTAAAAATATGTATGTGTGTTTGTGTCTTTGTGTGTAGCTAAAGAAGCCAGAGTATGTGTAGAGTACTTGTACATCTTTCTTTTATTGCTAAGCATTCAATTCTTACACTGTTCCAAAATGTATTTTCTGTTTATTATGGTATAAATATAATTGATATTTTTACTACCTTCATATACAAAATCTTTTCTGTATGTTTATTTATTTTAATTGCATAGTCTAATAAATGGGGGAGGGAAATAAACTATTATCAGGGGAAGGGAATAAAGGAACTGACATGAGATTTTGTTTTTGCTACCATTAGTCCACTAACTTTATGATAAAAAAGATGGCATCTGGCGTTGGGAGCCGACTCTGAGTAGAAAGCGGCTATCATCTTTGCAGCCATCTTGAGCCATATACCCTGACAAGAGACTTGTTTTCAACAGCCTACAACAGCTGAGCACGCTCTGATAATTATCTTGATATACCCATGATTTCCTTTCAATCAAGGCCAGGTAGTGGTGGCACACACCTTTAATCCCAGCACTTGAGAGATTCAAGGAGAGACTCGAGGCGAGACTCAAGGAGAGATTAAAGGTGAGACTTGAGGAGAGATATAAAAGGAGAGACTTGAGGAGAGAAAGCAGGAGACTCTGTCTCCAGAGCAGACTCTGTCCCGTCTTCAGATCAGACTCTGTCTCGTCTCCATTCTTCGCATCTCTGTCCCCACTCTCTCTCTTGCTAGACTCTGACCCACAGACCGGAGCAGCAGAATGGGCCGTTACAATCTGGTCTTTTGCAGTTTCCTTAGTTTTGAAGCTCTTTCTCCTTGTGAGTGGTGATAACATCTCTGGTTCATTTTTTTGTTCCTGGCTATTATATTGTTGCTACAAAGCAAAACTAAAGTGTTCAGCCAAATCAAATATTACCCGTAGAAAATGTTCCATCAGTATGAACTTGTGATAAGTTAACAGAGGTGAGTGGGGAGAACAGAATAGTTTTGACTAGAGCTGGTACAAAGAGAATGAATAAACTTGATGTGATTTTTTTTATTCTGCTTCTGTGTCCTTGGTTAAGCAACCAGACCTCTCAATCTTTTTCCTGCGTGCTATTGCCCTTTCTGGCCCAGCATGTTGCTGCTACTCTTGATCTTTGACTTGTTTGGTGCATGTGGTGGGATGGATGTATTGCTGTAACATCAGCATGCTTTTGCCTGCAGTCAAAAGGTTCGGGATTCTAGAAATAGAATTATAGCACAAGAAATTCCAGGGGACAGGTCAATAGAGCAGGACCTGAGAAACAGAACTGAACTCAATCAATTATCCAGCACTTAGATGCCACACGCTAGGTTGGGGACAGGTTTTCCTTAGTCCCAAGGCTGAACTTGGTACCTAGAATATTCATTGATGAACCTTTTAAAGCATGTGTTTTCTTTCTCTTCCTGATAGAGGGTTGCTCACCAGAGCCTTAACAAAAGTTTGTTTTGTTTAACAAGTTTTCCAGAAAACATTTTATCCATCTAACCTCAACATTTTTCCCAACCCCAAAATACATATTAAATGAGATAGTTGGGTCTGTAGTGTACTAAAAAACCAAAATAACAAACAAGCAAACAAACAACAAAAGACCCTCAGAGAACATTCTTTGTAATTTTTTTTCTTTCCACTTTGTTTTTCTGCATACTTCAGGAGGGAAGGATGACTAGATTCTTGCAGACCTTGATCTGCCCATTAGACATTTGGATTTCTTCTGTGGCAGAGGAAATTCAAAGATATTTATTCTAACCAAAGGAACCCAGTAGCTAGTTAATTCTTTGTTTCCTAACTAGAAAGCATGCCACAAATATTTGCTCCTTACTCCTGCAACTAAGAGCCTGTCTAATGGACAGGGGAAAAGGAAAGGAAAGGAAAGGAAAGGAAAGGAAAGGGTCGAAATAGTGGAAATCGTTTTTTTTTTTTTTTTTCTAAGACAAGGTAAGGCACGGGCCCACATTCCTCTACACTCTGGTGCCTTGTGAGTTTTCAGATTTGTGTTTAGTTCAGCTGGAGGCAAGAAGCTTAAATGGGAATTTGTCTATGCTTTTTTTTTTTTGTTGCTCTCCTCTAGTATCTGAGATAAAGGGTATTCTGATAGAATTCCCATTTTGTTTCTGAATCAGCTGAGTTGAAAAGATTTTTTTTTAAAACCCTTTCTCAAATTGGTTGGATCTGATCAATATGCCCTAGAGGCTAAGCGTGGTGGCAGCTGCAGTACAGCTAGAGCCCTGACCAAACAGAAATGTGGGAACCAAGGAGTATTGAGATGTCGCCAATTTCAGACTTTTCTCTGTGGACCATAACCTCCCCAATCACAGTGCATCCTATTATAGAACTCTAAGCCTGTGTTCACATTCCTTGATGGTGTTCTCTTCCTTCTTTTAAATTACCTTTTAAAACAAGATAGAGAGATGGAGAACTGGCTCATTGGTTAAGAGCATTTGCTACTTTTTCAGATGAACCAAGTTCAGTTCTCAAAGCCCACAAGGAGGCTCACAGCCAATTTTTACTCCAGTTCCAGGGGATCCCAGGCCATCTTCTGGCCTCTGTCGGCATTGCATGCACAGGGTACACAGATGGATAGGAAACATCTTTAAACATAAAATGAAACTGAATAAACATAAAATGAAACTAAATAAACATTGAACTAGGTAGAGATTTATGTTTTTTTAATTTTATAAATTAAAATGTATTTTATTATTATATTTTCACATGCATTTTTTTACTTGCATGTAAATTTGTGCACCATGCTTATGTTTGGTGCCTGCAGATGTCAAAAGAGAGCTTTAGATCCCCTGGCACTGTAGTTACAGAGAGTTGTGAGCCACCATGTAGCTTTTAAGAGTTGAACCCAGGTCCTCTGGAAGAGCAGCCAATGCTCTTAATTGCTGAGCCATTTCTCCAGCCCAACCTTTATGTTCACAATTAGCATCTACTACACTGTGACTTACACTTACAGCAAAGACTGAGATATTCATGCCCTTCACTTCAATGGTTTCACAGTAACTCTTGAAAGCACTCCTGTATGTATCTCGAATATGAGGACTGAATTTCCCTGATTTGGAATTTGAAATTATAATTTTTCAGACCAAATGGCATGTTAGAGATGTTAAACCAATTAACACACCCCCAGGAGTGGGAACTCAAGCAGCAGTTTATCGCCACACCAGAAATCCTAAACAAATGTAAGTCCAGCCTGAGTATGCTAGCTCACCCACTTACGTTCCTCCTCCTCCTCCTCCTGCTCCTCCTCCTCCTTCTTCTTCTTCTTTTTCTTCTTTAGATTTCTTTGTCCTTTCAATTTTTCTTTTTATTCTGAGATCTTTTAGATCTCAAAGGAAGATGATCAATGAACTTCCCCTGGGCACTGAACAATATTACAGGGACTTTCATCCTCTTTCTCAATAGGACCTGTGCAGCTGCTGCCTTTCATTTCATTTTATGCCTTGTTCATGTGTCAGAGTGATGGATATATTGCCTTAATAGTGTCCTGCTACTTCTCTACTCTTTATCCTTAGCCATGTAGCCTGTGGTGTGAGATTCTTTCCCTCAGATTGCACGTCTATCCTCCCAGAATTTCAGAGTGCAGCATCTTTTCTTGGCCCCATGTTTTTCTCTCAACTACAATGTCATCAAGACTGCATCCAGAGGCAGTAACCAAGGGGATAAAGGATTTTGGGGTTTACTGCTCAAATGACCAAAATCACAAAAAAGAAATATTCCAGGAAGGTAAACAAAAATCGTACATTTGCAAGATAATTTTTTCTTCTGTTACTCTTTGATATGATCAGTACAATGAATCAAGGAACAACCTCTGAGTTTTAAAACACATTTAACTTATAAAAGGCTTTGCTCATCTGGAAGGGTTCTTATGTCATAGGAGGTCTGTCTAACCCTATAGGCTATCCACTTCCTTTATCTAAATCCACAGCGACTCAGTCATGAGTTCAAATCTTTTTATGGGTGCAGTTTTCTCAGAGTTTTGAGTACAGTATAAGAAGTTCACTTCCTGGCTCAACTATTTCTTTGTTTGATATTTGAGCTGAAGTCTTCTTCATAAAATGGGGCTAATAATGGTCCTGAGGACAGATTAAGGATTAGTACAGAAAAGGAATGGAACATTACCTCTAAATCCTACCCCGAATTCATATCCTAGAAAGTGACTATAGAGAAAGTAAATGTTTATAAGCATAGTAAATGTGTTTTAAGAGAATTGTGGGGTATATAAATATTTAAATTTTTTATTTCATCTGGTTTAAAAAGGAAACTTTGAACCATGAATAAATAAAAGGTTACTTACCTAATTCACAGTTCCTTCCTTCAAATCCAACTCGGCACCAACATTCATAGGAATTAATATCATCCTTGCATATTCCACCATTTAAACAAGGATTTGATTCGCACTGATCTCCATCTTTAAGACAGGTTAAGAAACTGAATTATCAGATGAGCTGCTTAACATGCCCAGTCCTCCTCTGAACAGATTTATGAGGGTAGGATTCTGATTCTAGTATCAGAGAACTACTGAGCTGCAAGCTACCTGCATATCGGCGATGTACCTGGTTTTATCCAAGTTTCTAAAAGTCACTGCAGCAAAGGTTTTCAGGCTAATGCCATCCTTGGAAATTTCACAGAGGGAGGCATGCACAGTCTATATAACCCAAGGAAGGACGGGGAAATTTGTTTGTATGGAAATACTATATCAGCATACAATGAGAAAGAATGTCAGAGTCTCTTCATGTAATGGGAACAAGTTAACTATAATTAAATTGAACCACTTCAACAAATACTATATATATTTCATATGAGGACATCTTATTGCAGGTCTTGCACAACAAGCTGTGTTAGACAGTAAAGTGTTTCCACTCATGGACTGGTTGCCCAGGCACATGGCAAATATATCTACTTCCTTGCATTGCCTTTTAATGTTTCTCTGTCATATGAAGTAAAGGGCTGTGACAACAGTAAAGTTGCCAGAAACTTAAAGATGACCATTTTTTGCATACCAGTTAGGTTCCAAGTAGGCAACCATGCTCAGTGTATCATCAGAAGCTTAAAGGTACTATTGGGGGAACTTTAGAAATACATTTCCGGTTTGCATTCTGTGTTTTCCAAAGTTTCTACATTTACAGAGCCTTTGAAAATGCTGATACTAGAACAAACAAAAAACAAACAAATAAACAAAAATAAAAACAGGAAGAAGGAATAGGCAAGTGGAGAAGACTCAGGTACAGAAGGAAACCTTTAGGTCTGGTTTCTTGGTGTCCAGCTACTAAGAAAGCATCAAGGGATAGGATGAACCCAGCCAGAAGGAGAGGGTACGTATTTTGAGCTATAGAAAAACTCTATGTCTGTAAGACTCCTCATATGAGAAAGAAAACTACCAGATGAAATGGTATGAAGGAGAGAAACATGGGAAGAATCAAAGAGAAATTTCTAATTAGTCATACTTTATAGCCAAACCCCTTGACATTTATTGTGTAGATGACCACGTTCACTATTCTCTGATGGAAGCATGTGTCTATGGTCTGTTGACTATGGGACTAGTATCCTTTTTCAGAAATAAACTCTCTGGAAAATTGGATTGCTGTAAAAATTAGACCTTGCCCTCTCTGCCCCTTGATCCAATGTGCTTTTGCACAGATACTGCAATTTGTTCCAATTCTATGAAAACAAAATACATTATCTCTGGTTTATTATTATTGATGTTCAAGACCAGTCTAAAAACGAGCTACATTTGCGCTTTATATTATAGACCAATGAATCTGAATTATTTAGGGTGTTTTACTGAAAGGGTCTGGGCTTGCAGCCAGCCACACAGGGAACTCATTTGCTGAGACATATCTTCAAAATGAGTGTCATTTTCTTTTGAATTTAGTGTTCCTTTGCTGTGTGTACTGTAGGCCAGGAGAAAGCCATAGTTAGTAGGGGTCAAAGACAACAGGAGACAAGACCCTGCCATGTGAGATTCTCTTTTAAGATTACTAGGTTCTGAAGCTGGAGAGATGATTCAGTGGTTAAGAGCGCTTGCTGCTCTTATAGAGTACCTGGGTTCAGTTCCCAGTACCAACGTGGTTGTTTATTGCAGTCCATAACTACAGTTTCAGGGAATCTGATACCACTTTTCTTGTTTCCATAGTTACCAGTCACATATGTGGTATCCAGACACTTATTCAGATGACATGCTTATACACATAAAATGAAAATAAAGAAACCCTTATAAAGAAGGAGGAGGAGGAGAACAACAACAACCAACAACATTCAGATTTCAAGATCATAAGATGTTATAGTGAAAGAAAGCATTGGTTCAAAGAGAAGTTGGGTTCCTTTCTAGGTCTTGTGGTTTCCCAGCTGGGTGATCCAAGGCAAAGCTCTTACTCCCTCTAAGCCTGTTTCCTTCTCTGTGAAACAGAATTCATAATGGAACTACTGTGAGGGTTGAATGGGATAGGTATTTTATAAATTGCTTTTGTGAACTGTATTCATTGTTCAGACAGACATAGCAGTGGGGAGCCTGGGCCCAAGCAGTTTCTGATTAGTACAGGCTAATTCTGTGACAGGTAGGAATCTTAACTACATGTGAAAACAAGTATGGATGTTGTTGCTTTTTTGTTCTTACTTGTGTTGTTTAAGTTTTTGTACTGAAAAGAGTAATGACAGTAGTATGTCCTTGACGTCTCATGGGTATTTGTAATCAAGGTATAGTAAATATTGCACTTCGATGACCTGGAAAGCCATTGCCAAACTTCAAAGTACGCTTCGTGGGCAGGGGCTGGGGGCTGAGGCTGGGGCTGGGGGCTGGGGTTGGGGCTGGGGCTGGGGCTGGGGCTGGAGTGTGTGTAGGATGGGCAGTGTGAAGGGACCATGAGTCTAACTGTAGCACTGATTTCTTCTCTCTCTCTCTCTCTCTCTCTCTCTCTCTCTCTCTCTCTCTCTCTCTTTCTCTCCCAGTGTGTGTGTATTTACGTATGTATATATGTACATAAATATATGTGTATGTATAAGTCAATTCTCGGTGTGTTTTTTCACTTCTTACACTGTTTTTTTGAATGGGAGGAAAAGCCATTGCATTGTGTTTCTCTCAGAGAACTTGGAGAAAATTGATTAGGCTAAACCGGCTTGGAAGCAAGCCTCAGAGCATTTTCTGTCACCTCCTTCTCAGTGCAGGGAGTATAGGCAAGGACCACTCAGACCTAGCTTTTATTTTTGGCATTTATTTTATTTTTATTATTTTTTACTACCTTTTAATTAAAATATAATTCCAACACTTTCCCCCTTTCCCTTGTATCCTCCAAACCTTCTCAAACCCTTTCCTCAAACCCCTTCCATACTCCCCACATTCAAACTGATAATTCATTTTTCTTTGATTATTATTGTTACATAAACATACATGCAAAAATATTTAACTACAGCCTGCTGGGCCACTTTTTGTTCTTTGTGTCTATATGGTTTCGGGGTTAGTGAGGTCATGGCTCTTAGAAGAGATCCTACTACTGTCACTTTGCTAGACCAGCATAATCCCTAACTACCTTCTAAATTTTCTCCTCATATCCACAGCTAAGTGTAGCTACCATACCTCATCAAAATAAGCTTCTCTGTACAGCAAATGGAGACCATCCCAGAGAGCCACAACTGGACACAATGGAAAGATCAATGATCAGGGGGCCTACTTCTAGTAAATAGATTTGTATCACAGTTCTTGCATGTATGGCTTAGTGAGCATCACAGAAGAGGAAACAGAAAGATTATAAGAGTTGGAACACCAGGAAGTCTTTTTAGGAAGCTGTGAAACAGTCTTTCCTAGAAATGGCTGTACAAGCAAAATCTGAATGGTGACAGTGTCAATGGACATGTTAATGTAGAAAGGAAAAAAAAGTCTCACCCCTAGAAAAACAATTATAGGCAACTGCTAAGAGAGGGAGGAAGGGAGGAGGGAGGAATGGAAGGCGGGAGGGAAGGAGTGATAGAGGAGGGAGGGAGGGAGGGAGAGAGAGAGAGAGAGCGAGAGCGAGAGCGAGAGCGAGAGAGAGAGAGAGAGAGAGAGAGAGAGAGAGAGAGAGAATTACCTCTCTAAGTATCAGCCTGCCAATTGTTTCTCTAATACAAAGTGGTTAGTCCTGAAACTGTATATACCAAATACACACAAACAACAAAAACGCTGGCTTATGAGGATTAAAGTAAGGTTTTCCATCTATGTTGGCTGAACAGTTTTTGTTATTTGTTTGTGAACTTGACATAAGCCAGTGTCATCGTGGAAGAAAGAACCTCAATTGAGAAGATGCCTCCATCAATTGGCCTTTAAAACATTTTTCCTCATTAGTGATTGCAGTGTGAGGGCCAAGCCACTCTTAGGTTGTGTAAAGAAGATAGCCCAGCAAGCCAGTAAGGAGCATTCCTCCATGTTTGCTTTTATTGCTCCTACTTCCTGCCCTGAGTTCCTGCCCTGACTTCCATCAATGTGACCAGCAGCAAGAGAAAGCCAAATCATCTATTTCCGCTAGGAGTGGCTTTGGATTATGTGTTTACTAAAGCAATAGAAAGCACAGGAATTATCTCTTCCCTAACCCCTTGGTTTGCATTTAAAAACAAGTGTTAAGCTTCCAAGATTTAACTTGAGTATAAATAGTTTGCATGAAATTTGTGAGTCAACTCAGAAGTGGGCTTGGTAGCATTCACTTTTAAAAAATAAGGAAGGCCAAAGAGAACCTCTTTTACAACTTCAAATGGAAAGTGGAGAAACAAGAGGGAGTTATGAGATTTTCTAGTAGTTTCTCCGGAAATGGAATTCTAGAAAATCGAACAGACCTCAAGTAGATGGAGCTGAGCGAATAGAGTAAGTTCATTTGTTCTAGCCAAGCAGATACTCTGAAAGAAGTCAGCCTGTGAAACGCCCCTTAAAATCCAACTTCTGGATTTTCAAACATTTTGACATTTGTCTTTGTGGACAAACTTTAAAAATGTACAAAAATATGATATAAATAATAAAATTGGTTATTGTTCAAGTATTGGATTTCTTCCTTTGGGTCAGTTCACTGGGCCGAGATTTCCTGAGTGCCTCCATTGTAGATAGTGTTGTAGGTGTTAGGAGCCTATCAAGAAGTTGAAGCTACTGAGTCCTGCCAAAATGATGCTAGAGTTCTAGAAGGGTGGGAAAATGAACAAGACACTGTTGAAAAAGGGCTACAGGTTGAATATCCTCAATCTGGAAGCTCAAATTTCAAATCACTCCAAAATCAAAAACTGGGTACCAATGTGGTGCTGCAAGTGGAAAGTGCCATGCTGTGAAATTATTTCGTAAACAAAATTATTAAAATGATTGTATGACAGGATCTTCAGACAACATGTTTCAAAATATATCAAGATATTCATATAACACATATATGCACATAAAAAATCATACATTTAGTGTTGGGTCTCATGCCAAAGATATTTCATTACATATATGCAAATAATAGAGCAGGACACAAGTGTCTAAAATGACAGAGCTACTAGGGAGCAGGTTGGAATATTAACACCTCATCAAGGGAGGACTTATTGAACTGGTGGAATTTTGGACAAGTCCCTGGGCAAGGTAAGGAACTTAGCTTTGAAGAAGCTGGGAAGAGTCAGCTCACAGATATAGCCAGATAATGCCTCTAACATGGGAACACTGCTAGGGCGTGCAAGGAGCCCCTTTGTGGAATGAGGGCAGCAGTAGTAGAGGTGGTCAGAAAGGCAACAAGAAGAGATGCTAGGTCAAGACATGGAGGGCTTTGGAAACAATTACAATCATGAGGATTTAACATGGTCAACAATGCCAATCATCACCTCTGAGTGCATTAGTGACAACAAATGTTCATTTAGCTTGAAGATGCAATTGTTTTGCTTTCTACTTGCATTTGAAATTTTTTTTTAAAACTGAGACTGTACAACTTCTATTTATATATAGAAAAAAAAGTACAATTCTCAAGTGTTTCATATAACAGCTAGGAAATAAAATGAATTGCTTACCAACATACTGCTTCCAAAATTCATTCTGTAAGGAAAAAGGACAGCTTAATGAGAATGTTTAAAGTATTTTGATGTGGATTTCTTTCCTTTTATAATATCTGTGACATATGATACAAACTGATATTTTAAGATTTTAAATACAAGTTTCTTTCCTTTAATAATTGATCTAAAATACTTTTTAAATTGTTTTACGGTATGAGTGTCCTATCTGTGTGTATACATGCATCATGTGTATGTTCTACTCAAAGAGGTCAGAGGAGTGTCAGGAGCCGCGTTCGCCATTGCAAGATGGCCCCGGTTTCCTGTTTCCTGTTTCTTCTTGGGAGCTTTGCTTGATTGTGCGCCTGCGCAAGGCGCGAAAACCAGTATGCTAATTTGGCGATATCATAAGAGCCAATGAGTGTGTGGCACGTCTCCTAAGGCTCTATATAAGCCACAGGATTTTGGGGCTTGGGGTCCCTCGCCTCACTGCCATCTAAAAGAGCTGTAACAATAAACTGCTGTCAGAAGAATCCTGAGTGTGGCGTTCTCCTTATCGGCTAGGCTGTGTGCTGCAGAGGAGAGTGTTGGATTTCCTAGATGCTTGGATTTGAACCTGTGTCCTCTGGAATAGCAGCCAGAGCTCCTAAACATGGAGTCATCTCTCTAGTCTCACACTCCTTTTGAAAATTGAGGTTTTGCATCTTTTGCTGTGGAACATGTTATTCAGGTATGATGTGGATATACTCACAGTTTTTTCATTGTTTTCAAAAACTTCTCGTGCTTCTTCAAAACTACATCTTTCTTCTATACACTCTCTCTCAAGGTTTCCTCGAACAAATTCTTCCAGTTTCCCTGAATTATATCTCTTTGGACGGCTAAGAATTTTGGTAGCATTTTCACGATCAAGGAAAACTGAAATGTAAAAGTACAGCTCTTTAGTTTTAGGAAAAAAAAAACACTCAGAAAACTAAATATGTTTTTAAAGAAAAGGTTTGTTTTTGATTCAAGAAATTCCATAGTTAATTTCTCTTTGAGGCATAGAGCCAAAAACTCTGATCTTTTCACAGTACTGTATACACATAGAAATTTAGAAATTAAAATTCAATTTTATTTTTAATCCGTAGAGTGACAATAATAAAAGATCACATTTCAGTTGTGTTTGTATTTAACTTTGGATGAAAAAGAACGTTCTCAACTAAGCAGTTAAGTTCACACTTTGTCATCACTTGAAAATAGCTCAGTATAGGATCCTTCCAAGGTGAGCCATCATTCCCCTGGTTAGGCTGTCTCCCAGTGGCTTTGCAACAAATATCCTGAGAAGAACAGAAACCTGTTTGTGTTTGGTTTGATTTTCATTTTGTTTTTGTTTGGAGAGAGAGGGAGGGAGGCAGAGAGAGGAGAGAGAGTTGAGGTGGAGAGAATGAAGTTGGATAGGTAGAGAGATGAAAAGGACCTGGGAGAAGTTCGGGGAGGGGGAAAGAATATGATTAAAATATTTTGTGAAAATATATTAACAACAACAACATCCCAACTGTAGGCCAGCTGCAAATGTGACTCCAATGCTTATCATGGGATAACGAGGAACAATCTGGCATAATTGGCTTTATCTTCAGGTCCATGATGTCTTTAGTTGGCATATGAATGCCAGTGATGTAAGCATTTCACTGAAATTCATGATTTTTTTTTAAAGCTATGACTGCCTACTCTGTAGTACACTTTTGCTTTTTTGAGAATCGAAATCTTTAGATTTCAGTTTTCTGCCCTCTTCCTTTTCCTTCTTGTCTCTTCCTCTTTGTATGTATTTTTGTCACTCTGTCTCTCTCAGCGTATATACATGTATGTATGCCTTGAATCCCATGTAGCTAACTCTTACTGACTGCATGAACATGAACAACCCATACAATGTCTGAATATTAATCTTTTAAAATTTAAAATGAATGTAACAGTAGTGTAAGGGTATGTACCTCATCATCATGTTGATGGGATCTCTGAGATAAATTAGAGACTTGTGTCTCCTGGGTACTCACTTTCTTCCCATGTTGCTCATGCTAGCTCTCCCTCCTCATTCTTAGCTTTCTCCCTCCTCCAGCTCTTCTACACACTTTTAAAGTGTCTTTACTTTCTTACTGATCTCTGTGCAAGGAAATTACCATCATCATCATTGGTAGTAACCATGTAAAGAAACTTTTTGACTTCATGTATTTCCTGACTGCTTGTTACACAATAAAGGATCAGCCTGTATTTACAGTCAGAAGTCAGACTATAGACCCTGTACTGAGTTGATATCATTATCTTCAACCCCTAGACCCTCCATGTATGTCTCTCCAAACTTTTCATATGCATGTGGCTATTAAATCATATAAGCACTATTTTATAATTACCACTCAAATTGTCAGTCCTCTCTCTATTCCTACTGTCCACATTAAGTTGTTTTGTTTCCATTGGATGATTGCAAGAGACTTAAGGTTGGACTCCTAGCCTGGAGCCTCACCAGTTCCTTATAGTGTTTTCAGACTGAGTGGTACAACAGCGAGGACTGTGCTTCTTACACTTACACCTCCACATTGCTTTCTACTGTTCCCTTTCTTTAGCTTCAGACCCTTTTTGGATGATCTGTCCCACCTCATTTTCTTGCCTTGCTTCTTCTAATAGTCAATATTCAAACCAGATGAAGCATGCTTTAGGTAGAGAACAGAACCTGTTTATGTCTGTAACTACTATCTTGTCACGGGTACCATGTACTATAACAGTATGGACTAATACCTGAATGCATGAAAGACAATTTTGATTTGTATACATTGTAAACCCAAATTCATTTCACAGACTAATTTTGATTTCCAAATTCCTATTTGGCACAATAAGGCAGTAGTTATGGACATGTGGCCTCTCCATTCTAAAACCTAGGACAGTTTAACAGAAGAGAGTGTTACATGAATACTTAGTCCCCACCTCCACCCCCACCCCCACCCCCAGCCACGGACATTTCCTGGTTCCCTGACCAAAATGATTCTAAAATCTTTTTGCTTTTATCCTCAGTAGTGTCTGAGGATCATATATTTAACACCCTGTAAGGATTATCTCGGGTCATTATTGCCCCAGCTCTGAAATCGTGATTTTTTTCTATCATTTTACATCTGAGATTCTCTCACCAAGAAGATGTGCTTGGATCTTTCTAAGAGAGTGCTTGGATCATTTGTTCTCACATAGGTCAATCTGGTGCAATACGTTGAATGACCTACCTTTATGGTCCACATAATGAGTTTCCCAACATGTACTTTTCATCTCTACCTACTTTCCTAGTGCAGTTTAACCTTTACATTCTCAGGCCATCATTTCAGCTTCTCAGTCTGATTGCACAGTTGACATCATGTCTGGAGTAGGAACCAGGAGACCAGCCTGTTTTCTGGGGATGCTCAGGGTTGGTGCCCCTAATCCTGGTACTGTCAGTTGTTTGATTTTAGTAGGTTGACTAGTAAGTGTGATAAATGCAGCTGGGGTGAGCAGGCTGTTTGTCTAAATGCATAAGTTCTTCATGCATGGCTTTCCCTGGGGAGTAACCTCATTGTTGTTGCAAAAAAAAAAAAAAAGAAAAGAAAGAAAAAAAGAAACCAAACAAAAATCTGACGTGTTGTATTTTACATGAACTAAGCTCCTCCCTTTTCTAGACATTTGTATACTTACTTTTACCCCCTAGGGAGGCCTCTGAGAATTATGGTTCTCTAAACATGTATGACAGATGAGCTGATTTACTTCTATCTATGGAAAAGCTTTCATGGCAGATAGCAACTTAGTAACAAAAGCTTAATCTTCCAATTTTAGCTGAGAAATTAAATTATAAGTATATACTTTTAGACATTATAACTATGCCTTACCATCTAGTTCTAAAGCATTGGAAAACACATAGATTCAAGACTTTTTATGTAAATAAACCATTGTGGCTTTGGTGTTTTCCCTTTTGATTTCAAGGTGGAGAGTCTAAAATCATAAAATAACATGTTTTCCTGCTTATTCTGCAATTTCTTTGTTAAGACATTCCAACTTTCATTTTTTTAAACCAAGGACACAGAAATTTTAAGAGGAATTATATTGTCAAATCATCAGAATAACTGTATCTATTAAATAAAAATGCACCACAAACACTGTAAATCTAGTTCATTTTTTTCAATATTAAAACTGAAGTTACCACAGAGCCAGAGTTACCAGCTGACATGCTGCCTGCTACAATAGAAACTATTTCTGTCACATCATGGAATCTTGCTTTACTTGATAAAGGTAGATCTAAATATTTCTGTTTCTAAAAGAGAAGCATATTCAGTGTAGCCGTGAAAAGGAAACAAACCTGCACATTCAGTACTGAGTAGATATCCCAGAAGGAAGATGGTGATGAGACCCGGAGACTCTGCCATGATGGTGTTCAGGTTCTGCATGACCTTTGTTGAGAGATTGTGCAAGTGTCAGGGCTAATCAATTGTTCCAAAGTACAAGCTGAATGGGATTTACTTCTGGGAAATTGTTGTCCATCTCTGTCTGTGTGTCTTTGGGCTATTTCCAGTTGTTTCATGGGTCAAGAGAAGAGAATGGCCAGGGCTCGTCATTAAAGTCATTAAAGTACACACTGGTTTCATGGGCTGCTGCCACTGGGGCAGAGCTACATTTGTGCTGCCAGGAAACTTTGTCTGTGGGAAATCAGTTTATCTTCATCACGGAGCAATAATATAGAGTTTAAAGATAACAAGGGAATTTCTTTATTTGGTCCTTTATGTTGAAATATCTTAATATGTGTTTATAACTGAATTACTAAATTTAAAATATTCTTCATATACTCCATTGTAATCAGGAATTTATAATCCTTCTTATACCATGTGCCAATATAGTGACATATGTAGACCCTGTCTCTGAACACATCTGTATATGTACATGTGTATGTGTCTATACACATGGATATATTGAAGTATACATAACAGCGTATCATTAATAGTGTCAGGGATTGGTACTTGCCCATGGGATGAATCTCAAGTTAGGCCAGTCATTGGGTGCTGCTCCCACAAATCCATTAGAGACGACACCATCTCCTGGGACCTGGCTGGGACAACAAAGCTGCCCTCCTCCAGACATCTCATCTGACTGAAGACTCCTAAGACACACGCTGAGATCCAGAGACATGCGCTGAGTCCTACAGAGGACAGACTTGGACCTTCCAGCTACAGATGAACTCTCTTGCCAAAGTCAAATGGCTACTGAACTTGGGGGAAGTTACACGTTAGTAAAGAAAACATGATGTCCATCTAGATTAATCAAATGTTGCTTTAAACTGATGTTATTACCCTCAAACTATACAATCTGTGGAACAATTAATTGGTTCAATGATCCCTTGTCTTCCCAAACCCCACCAAAAACCCTCCTCACCCCTCTGGCTTAATTGTGCTACTCCTCCAGCCTGTGTAGTGTTTTCTCTTGATACTTCCATATTAATGAGATACCTAAAGGCCAGAGGGGTGTAGTCAATTAAACATTCCTTCCCAGACCCTCCGCTCTGCAAAAGGTATTTAACCTTAGCCCCTCCCCCTGAGGAAACTGGGGTTTAGTTTTCATCTTCTTTCTGCCTGACAATAAACATTTTAAGACCATGGACTGTTTCTCTTCTTTGAAATCCACCATGGCGAACAGTGGAGCAGGCCTTCATCTATGGAGCTGCCACCTAATCTCCCACAGAACTCTGTGTTCCCAGCCACAGAGACCACTAACCCAAGCCAGCCAAGCCAACAGCAGCAAGCTGCCAAGAACTCTCATCCCCACAGGGTGCATCTGGAGCTCTTTCCCTTTTTCTCCCCTTCGGCTGCGGGCCAATCCAGCCTGTATGCCCCACTTCATTCTCAGCGCTTCCATGGCCCCCCAGCAGTGCCTGGGGGCCCAAGAGCCTGAGAACAAGATAAGCTAGTTCCAGCTCCCCAGGGACCTCAGACTGTGTTCCACCCCCCCCCCCCCCGCCCGGAGTGTAGTCCTGAGGCTTCACATAGCCTGACTCCTGCTCACCCAGCACCTCGTGTGAAAAGAGCACAGTCAATTTCCTGTCTCTCTGTCTCCACTAGTGGCCATAACCCTGTGGTGAGACAGACATGGGACCCACATCAACACAAATCAGTCCAACAACTCAACCCAACAGTTGGGTGGCTATCTCTCAGTCTTTGCTATATTTTTGTCCATGCACATCTTCCCTTAAATCTTCATTAAGAGTCCCTAGACTTGGGCTGGAGAGATGGCTCAGTGGTTAAAAGCACCGACTGCACTTCCAGAGGTCCTGAGTTCAAATCCCAGCAACCACATGGTGGTTCACAACCATCTGTAATGAGATCTGATGCCCTCTTCTGGTGTGTCTGAATACAGCAACAGTGTATTCATATATAATAAATAAATAAATCTTAAAAAAAAAAGTCCCTACACTTCATCCAATGAGAGTCTGCTTGGCTACAGCAGGTGGATTTTCATGTTTTATCTCAGTCCTTAGGAAGGAGAGGCAGGTGTATCTCTGCAAGTTCAAGATGGACATTATCTAACTAGCAAGTTCCAGGTCAGCAAAATCTATCTATTGAAACCTTGTCTCAAAAAAATCACCCCATCAAAACAAAGAAACAAAGAAACAAAACAACTCCTGTGGACTCCAGACAGGGAAGCAGTAGATTAAATGCAAATCCTCACCTCTCCTCCTCTTCAATTCCCTCGCCTCATCCCCAGCTCTGTAGCAAACCAGCTGCAGTGGTTTCACCTCCCATTCTCTCCCCACTTCCAGTGTATCATACAGATATTCTTTTCCAATTCTCCCTACTCTTGGTATCCCAGTCATACCTGCCAGAGAAGCAAGTTGGCCAGCACAGCATGTAGCTTCAGATCTTCACTCTCACTACTCTCCTCCAACTCTAATCCCTGAGTTTCATGCCTAGTTCTGTAGCAGAATACCTGTTGTCTTACTCTCTGTTCCCATTTCCAGGGCACTAAGCAGATCCCCATGGAAGACCCTGTTTTCCTTCCTCCTGTGAACTCTTTAGCTCCTCCTACCTTATCTCCACTCCCAAATGTCAGCTCCTAATACCTAGAAATAGATTTTTGACCAGAACCCCCGTTGTAACACATAGCAGGATCCCAGAAACATTCCATGCTAGGCAACTCACAATCAACACACCCTCCACAGAGCCAGAGATTACAGCTGAAACCAAGGAACAAAATACCATACCAACAAAGACAAAACAAGATACCAGCACCTAGAATTACAATATTCCTGAACCTAGATGCCTAGACATCAGTGTCAGAATCAGTAACAACCAGGACAATGTGTTCAGCAGAGCACAGCAACCCTACCACAGTAGGTACGGTGATTTGCAACATAGCTGAAGTACAAGACAAAGACCTTAAAATAGCTTTCATGAATATGGTAGAAGTTCTTAAAGAGGACATGAATACATCTTGTAAGGAAATCTGTGAAAACATAAGCACATATTGGAAGGGAATTAATAAACTAGCTTAAGACCTGAAAGCATAAATGAAATATTTAGGAATTTGAAAATATTAGAGGCAAGCCTAATCAAATGAATACAAGAGATAGAAAAGAAAATCTAAGGTGTTGAAGACATGGTAGAAGAAATGGATACCTTGATCAAAGAAAATGTTAAATCTAAAAAAAAAAATTCTGTCAGAAAGTATTCAGGAAATCTGGAACATTATGAAAAGATCAAATCTATGAATAATAGTAATAGAAGAAACCGAGGTAAAGGTACAGAAAATATTTTTAATAAAATCATAGAAGAAAATTTCCTTAACTTGAAGAGATGCTTGTCAAGGTGGAAGAAGTATACAGAAAGCCAAACAGATTAGACCAGAAAAGAAAGTACCACCACATATAAAAATCAAAAACACTAAACATACAGAACAAAGAAAGAATATTAAAAGCAACAAAGGAAAAAGACCAAATAACATAGAAAGGCAGACCTATTAGAATCAAATTATTTCTGAATGTAGACTTTCAAAGCCAGAAGGAACTGGATGTAAGTTCTACAATCTCTAAGAAACCACAGATGCCACCCCAGAGTACTATACCCAGCAAAACTTTCAACCACAAAAGATGGAGAAAGTAAGACATTATAGGATAAAACCAAATTTATAAGGTCACAGTAAGTCAGATACCCAAATCATGTAAAGACCTGGCAAAAAAGAGAATTACAGACAAATTTCCCTTACCAACAAAGATACAGAAGTTCTCAATAAATTCTTTCAAACTCTAAGATCATATCACAAAGAAGATTCACCTGGATCAAGTAGATTTCATTCAGGAGATACAGGAATGGTTCTGCATACATATATTGATTTAAAAACAAGCAAGCAAGCAAACAAACAAACCAAAAAAGAAAACCCAACCAAACCAACCAAACAAAAAACAAACACACATGTCCTCTCAGTAGATATACAAAAGGCCTTTGATTTTTATGATAAAAGTCCTGGAGAGATAAGTCGTGCAAGAGACATACCTCCACAAAACACAGTTTGCAGCAAATCCATAGCCAACATGAACTTAAATGGAGAGAAACTCAAAGCAATTCCACCGAAAAAGAACAAGGTTTTCAACTCTCTTCTAACCAATTCAATATAGTGCTTGAAGTATTAGCTAGAGTAATACGACAGCAGAGGGAGATTATGGGGATACAAATTGGAAAGAAAGAAGCTGAAGTATCTTTATTTTCAGATGATATGATGGTAGCATATATAAGTAACCTTTTTTCCCACCAGAAAACTCTGAAAATGGTGACGCGTTCAGTGATGTAGCTGAACTCAAAATTGAATAAAAAAATCAGTAGCTTTCCTGTATACAAATGGACTAGGGAAGAAACCAGGAAAACAAAATTGTTTACCATAGCCTCAAATAATGTAAAATATGTGGGCGTAGCTCTAACCAAGCAAGTGAATGACTTGTATGATAAAAAAAAAATCTTTAAGACACTGATAAAAGAAATTGGACAAAATATCAGAAGATGAAAAAGATCTCTCATGCTCATGGGCCAGTAGGAATAATATAGTAAAAACGGCCATCAGACCAAAAGCAATCTACAGATTCAATGAAATCCACATCAAAATTCTAACATAATTTTTTACAGATCAGTATAGGACAAGTTTCTGTAGGGGAATTTTCTCTAATTATTTAATTGGCTAATAAAGATGGCAAGAAGCCAATTGTTGGGTGAAGAGAAGGAGGTGGATTTTCCAGGTCTGGAAGAGGAAGAGGACAGGGGAAAAGGAACAACCTTTTCCAGCAAGGCAGAGAGCGAGAGGACATGCAAAATGTAGGCCAGGGAAGCCTTCTGGAAGCCACCACTAGAAGAATTTCCAAGATAGAATAGATGGTGAGTTTAGAACAATAGATTCTGTGCCCAGAAGTTCTGTCATTCTGGTT